TTTCACTTTTTTTTTTTTTTTTTTTTTGGTAAAAGTAGCGTAAAAAGATGGAAATTAATAAAGAGTTTACTAAAAATTTGTATACTAAGAAAATTAAAATAAATAATGACATTTAAATGATAATAATAATGATGTAAAATTGAAATACATAATAAAATAAAAGTAGTATTCATTATCCTTATTTTATTATTTATTTATAAAATAATATTTAATTTTAATAAAATTAAAATTATATTTAATATTGATGTACGTATGTATGTTTGATCATTTTCTTTCGCGTGGCAAGATTCAAAACATTTCCCTAAACACAAGGGTACCTTAAAAAGTAAAGTAAAGTAAAGTAAAATATACTGCATTTATGCATCAGGCAAGATATTTGTGATGGTCGTAAACAAGCCAAATTTCTTTCAAAATGTTGCAGTAAACATCTCCTTTTATGGGGATGGCCAAACAGGTTTATAAAAGCCTCAGTTTCTAGCAACGCATCGCACAAAGGGTTATTATTTCATACACAGACTAAAATATTAAAAATATTAAAAATTCTGCTATTTTTTTTTTATGAAAAATACTTTCGTTAAAATGTGTACAGAATATTCAATACCTGCTTTTCTAATCCTGACAATATATGATGTTAATGTGTTTTCAAACGAACGATTTGTTCAATTTTAGAGTTGAAATCGCAAATGGCTAGCAATCACGTATTAATAATGAAGTCCAATATAGTATTATATAGTATTATATAGTATTATATAAGTATAGTATTATATAGTATTATATAAGTATAGTATTATATAGTATTATATACTATTATTATAGTATTATATAGTATTATATAGTATTATATAGTATTATATAGTATTATATAGTATTATATAGTATTATTATAGTATTATATAGTATTACATAGTATTATATAGTATTATTATAGTATTATAGTATTATATAGTATTATAGTATTATATAGTATTATTATAGTATTATAGTATTATATAGTATTATATAGTATTATATAGTATTATATAGTATTATTATAGTATTATAATATTATATTATTATATAATATAGTATTATAATAATGAGATTGAAAAATTGACTGAAAATAGAGTCGATCAATTTTAAGACTCTTTCGTCGTACTACGATAAGAGACTACTTCATCTCCTTCGAGACTCATACTTCGTGAAGCGTTGAGACTCAGAAAATCGACCAAGTTGTTTCGGAAGATGAGCGTGATAAACATAGCCCGATCCCTGGTAGCCGGTTTCCCTTGTCGGCGCGTTAGTCTCGCGCAATTACTCGAACACGAAATCGAGCATCGGCATGAAGGAGAAGCGACGACGTGACTCACCAGCGGGGTTGCGATGCCCAACAGCGCGAGCCTGTTGGGAACGAACCTGATGATGGCACGCGTCGCTCTCCAACTGGTGACCTAGCATGGTCGCGTTTAACCCTTCCTCCGACGTTGACTCTCAGTCGGATCAGGCCCGACATTTACCAATCGTTTATAGTCACAGCACGTTGAACTCGTTTGTAAACTGCTCGTCCGTCTCTGTATGTCCAAACGCGTCGAACAATCTGTGAATCCGGAATAAACTCGAAGCTCGAAACCCGAGGTTTATCGCGTTTATTCTTAGGTTCATATATAAATTTAAACTATATATTATTTATATATTAATTTATACATAAAAATCTTAGGTTTATGGTATATAAAAGCATAAGTCGTGACTAATCTTGCTAGGTTGACCAAAAAAAAAGGTAACTGCGTTTCTTTTTTTCTTCTTCTTCTTCTTTTCTTACGTGCAAATGAAAAGCGAATTTTTTGTTACAGCAGCTTTATGTATTGTCAATTTTGTTCAATTATCTTTTGAAACATCTTTCAGTTTTTTGCCAATTTCATGGTTTAGCGTTTGAAGAGGCTCTTACTCGGCAAAAATAATAAATTTATATTTTGAATAATGTTAACAGTTAGTTTTGTCGTTTCATTATTTAGACTCGCACTGATGTGTGTAATACATAGTCTGTAATATATATATCTAACAAAAATTATGAATTAGTCATTTGGTCTTCATTTTAAAATGTAGTTCCAGTGTCAATCCGCCGCGTGTAGGATCGAAAGCAAAATTTGCGTGCTAACAGCGACTTTATGTTTATGCCTGAATATCTATTTTAAATATTAAGTGTCGCTAACATTTGATTTATCATAGTTGTAGCATCAGTGTGAGTCTAAATAATGAAATGACAAAATTAACTGTTAAAACATTATTCGAAATATAAACATTACGTAATATAGAGAATCATCCAGAATCATAAAGTCGCTGTTAGCACTCGCGCGTCCGCAGTATATAAATGATTAAGAAACTTTTTTCAAAAAAAACTATCCGGTTGTGAATTGTGGTTCCTTGAAAAAAAAGTACCTTCGCAATGAATAGAATACAATTCCAAAAAGAAACTTTGACCTTGAGGTTCAAGGTCAAGATGAATTTTGCTTTACGTGTATCAAATCAAAGATGTGGAGTTCGTCAACGACGAACGCTACGGACAAACATAAACCAAAGTAAATAGTAGATGTGGTTTCTAATTAATTCTCGAAAAGGAAACATCCACGTAAGATGTACAATGTGTCCATCCGTTAGAAAAAGACACAATTACTTTTTGGCCAGCACAACGTACATAACGCGTACATTTGTTGCAACAAGGAAGAATGTGGTTTAGAAACCACTTTGGCATGGTGCATTGCAGTTAATTGAAGGGGACTCGGAGGGGAAAGTGATACAAATGAGGAAATTGTACGCGTACTCGCAGAGTTTAAACACGGGGGCACACGCTCGCTCCAATTATCCAAGTGATACCGTTTTGACACTCGACAAAGCGACTTGTAATTAGAAGAGAGATACGAAAAAAAGACGACGACGAGTAAACAGCCTCGGCTGTGGCGGGACAGTAGATCGCTATTTTACGTGTGTTAATGCAAACGTTTGAACCAAATCCTGGTCTAGTCTGTATTTTCCTTTGGACTCTTCACTTCGCTCTTTCTCCTCAACGTTATACCAGATGTTAAGGACAGTCACGGCTGGTATCGATCGTGCATATCCCTTGGCGGTTCAAAGGGGATGCGCGTTGATAATCGAATGAAAGACTGCGAAGATCCACGGTGTAACGAAGCGGGATTCGATTTCTGCTGGAAATCCAATAAACACGGATACCTAGTTAGTTACCTAGTGCCGGATGCTGGATTACCCTCGCCTGTGCGGCTAATTGACGCATAATGGGCAGCGTTCAAAGTTAGAAACAGCGTGAACGAATCCGGGTAATTTCAGGCCGTATTTCGTCGGAACAGCGGGGTGGTTTTCGGGGGGATGGAATGGGGGAGTTTTGCGAATGGGAAGAGTCTCTCTCCCCCCTCCGCCCTCCTGTTTCGTTTTGACGCACGACCTGCATTCGATAATCCTGAAATCTAATTTTCGTTCGCGCGGAAAGCAACGGGGTGGTAAATGGATTTGTATCGTCGGCGCTCGCGCGCGTTCGATTTGTGTTACCCGGTGCGTGCAAATATTGATGGCGCCGTTTGTGCCTCCGATACGATAACAAAATGGCGTTCACTACAGCCGCGAGCCTTCTATCGGCCGGCAGTATCTGCTGCCTGGCAAGACGCCGCCTAATGGAAATCCCTTCAACGCCGATCTGGCTACCGATCGATTCTGCCAACCTTCCCTCCTTCTCCTTTTAATCAAACAGCCTTGGGTACAACCGAAAAAGAAGAAAGAACAACAAGAAAGATGTGTATATGGCAGCAGTCACTCACTCTTTGACTTTGAATCGCGTCTTCGATCGATCTTTTGGAGAAGTGAACGAAAGACTCGACGGGAACGGTTGTCGGAAATCATCAACAACGCGAGTTCTACGACAAAGGGGAAGAGGATTTGCATCAAAATGGCGACCTGGAGACGCGAGAGAGTGTCGTAAAGCTTCGCGGTCGCCGCGGTTAGTCGCTGGCGGAGAGGCGCTGGAAAGTTCAGACGAACGTTTCCCGCTGCTAGCGTGAATTTTCCTGTTACGCTTTCGAAGCTTCTCCCACCCGCCCTTCCTCTCGTGCGTTTTCTTCGTTCTGCAGGACGTTAAAAGCTCGTTTACGCGACGGGAGGACCTCGGGTGCCTCGAGTTAGGTCGGAGTTAACTGAAAGAGCCATTAGCTTAAAATTGTTAGCCGATGCTGCTTGAGCGAACGAAGGGGGGAAAAGGAAGAGAGAGAGAGAGAAAAAGCTTTGAAAGTCTTTAGAGTGGCGGTATTATGAAAATGGCTGGTCAGTCCGGGCTAGCGTCGTATATACCGTGAGGAAGAGAGAGAGAAAGAGAGAGAGAGAGGGTGGAAGCAGCTTTGCTCGAAGGAGACCGCTCGATATGCGTTTTAAGCTCGGGCCACTCAATTAAGCTGGCGGATATCTTTGGTATTTGCATATCAATATGGAGCTGTGCCAAGGAGGAGAGATTCGCTGCGACTCACACCCCCGGATCTGGATTACCCGAGAACCGGAGTGCACGGTAAAATGGACAGGCGACAAAGTCCCTCTCGGTTGCTAATAATTACGCTTGCAGTTCGCTCTCTGGCAACTGTCCTAGTCTCGCGCGAACGCAGCTGGATTCTTTTCCTTGAATACAGCGGGTGATCGGTTAACGAACAATCTGGACAACGAACACACGCGCGAGAGAGAAAGATCCTTATGTTTCAGAAAATGTTTGCAGAACCGTGTTTCGTGCAATCGTAATATTGCTTGAAGATTACGCGCGAAAGATTATACGCGAATCCATTCTTGTTGATTTTCTAAAATTTTTCGATATTGAAAACAACGACAAACACAGTGGTTGATCGGTTGAACGAACAATTCAGGTAATAAACATCGTCTTTGAAATAAGTAATCGAATCAGAGTAAAATTGCTAAAACGATCTTTGCACGATTCAGAGGATCGTAAGTTGGTTAAATGAAAAGAAAAGTAGAATCGATACCTGCGACATGTGCTGCGGTCTGGTCGCCGTCGAAGTCATGTGTACCACGGAAGCTCTGGGCATTTTAAAACTGTTCTCGCCCTCGTCCGGCACAGTCGTTACCTGCAAGCAGAAAATATATTCGTGAAATATACACCTTCGACACGATTTATTGATGGATTTATTCGTAATCTCGTTTGACGATCGATGCTCGTCGATCAATTAAACAACGAAACTGGAAGCTAGTCGAGATTGAATTTAAAAGAAAATAAAAAAGGAAAAGAGAAAGTGAAAATCGCAAATGAAAAGTTAGCGTTAATGGATTGACCAATGTGTGATCCAATCTCGGTATGACACGAAACTAGATAAGGAAGAGCATAGAAACTGTAACGCTAAACGAACGAAAAATCAGCGCTTTTGTTGAGTCCTCCATTCAACTTCACTTTCATTGCACTCTGTGGCATATGGTACTGCACAGCTATAAATGTACAATAGCTTGGACTCATATTTTTCTTTTATTTCTTTTATTATTTAACGTCACTTTTCTGAGTCGTGCAAAGCACGAACATCTTCCATCATGACGTTTCTGACATTGAAACACCGAGAAATTCCATTCTCCAGACCCCATGTCCATCCAGATCTCCTCCTAACAGACACTTTTATCACGGGAATTTGATTTTCCACTTTCGGCCAATCTCGACAGCGAGATTAGTTCACGTGTTCCTCCCTCCCATTAGTCCACCTCTGACTTCTATCTTTTTTTTCTCCTGTCGACGAAGAACGCGACACGGCAACGTCATTGTTCGTGCACAGGCAGATATCGACGCCGACGATAGCCCATTGTCGACAGTGAGATCCGTCGTTCTGAAATCGAATCGGCACGGCTGGCCAGCCCGAGTACGCGAATAACAAGCACCATGGCAATTGAACCGCCGCGGCGAGAAAAGTTTACGAGCTTCCAGAAACTACAAAAGGGGACGGTGTCGCGGGACGGTGTTGCAAGTAACGTGGCCGGCCCACGATAAGACTTGCCTTGGCTACCATTGTCTAGAGAAGCCAGACAGATAATTGTCCTTCTGGTTGTCCACACGGTTGTCCAATTGTGCCGCCCGCGCGTTCTCTGGCCAGCAGAAAACAGCCCAGACAGGCCTTTTTCCGTCTGACAGGCCGTCAAGTCGCTCGACCGAGGACCGGAGTTACGTCTAAATCCTCTCGGCATGCTGCCTGAATGCCCGATTGTTGCGCGCTGGCTGTCCTGTCCGCTTCCATCCACCTGACCGGTGAACCATAGTCTCGAGAGAGAAAGAGAGTGGTCGTGTTTCGCGAGTATGTGCGTCTACCATCGTCTCACGAACGAACAGTGGAGTTAGCAGGCAAGGTAATAAGGCCCCTGTCTCTGGCCCTCTTTCGATATCGAATGAACGATGGTAACGGTTGTTCGATCTGTCCGGTCCGTTCCGTTCACGCCTTTCGTGACTTACGCACCGGGGGACCGGTTTCGTCGTTGACAAAATTTTCGCCTTGGTAACCGGATGCTTGGACGCAGGCTATGTCTCTAGATTTATACACGGTGTCCCGTTTTAAGTATGTAAAATGCAACTATCTGTCCGAAACTATTTAACAGATGTCACGAGTGTGTTTCTTTCCTCTGTTTCGTGAGGCAAGTAATTTTGTCTCTTGGATAAATGCGCGTAGAAGATATCAAGGTCACTCCTATTTTTTCAAATGTAATTGTGTAATTTTCAATTATTAAATAATATAATTTTGTAATTTAAAATGTAATTATAAATATTTAAAATATATATAATGTAATTTAAAATATAATTATATTTAAATATTATTTTTAATATTTTAATATATTTAAATAATATTTAAAATATAATAATGCACTTTTTAAATAATATAATTGTTCAATTTTTTTCAAATATAATTGTGTAATTTTTAATTTGCATCTTCTATAAATTTTCTGTATTATAATCCATGCATATCGAAAAGCTATTAGTTTAACTTTGACTAATGGTTTTTAAAGATAGTTAAACTTTAATTTTAATAGAGCCTGTCATATGATAGACCAGAAAAAACAAGAGCAATATTCATATTATTCTTGTTTTTTGTGCATAGATTTTATAAGAATTATCTCCTAAAATAATGAACCTTTTCATAGAGAACGAAAAATAGATGCTGCATCGATTAATGCAAAAGAAAAATTACGTAATTATACTTGAAAGAATAATGGTGACCTTCGTATATCTCCTACACGCGTTCATCTAGAGACAATATACCAAATAAGTAAATATACCAAGTTACTACCCTATTTGAAACATTTTTTAAATGACGAATATAGTTTCAGAGATGATTACATTTATAGATTAAAACGGGACACTCTGTGTACATATATATATATATATAATACTCTCGAATTCGCTCTTCTTCTCTTAATAAACGCATCGAGACTGACCACGAATTTCTTCTGGAAAATTAATACGCACTTGTTCCACTTTCGTTAGATGTGATTATCTGAATTACTTACTTTTGCAAGATGTAACTATCCAAACAAGTACCTAAGTGCCAAAAGTTCCAAATTGCAACATTTTTTCTCAGTATTTTTATGTATATTTAAGTATATAAATCCAGGCAACAACAAATAACAAATTTACTACTTCTCAATCATTTCTGTCCAGTGATATATCATGCCGACGAGTTCAAAATGAAAAGAAAGCGACGAATTATTGTATACGGCTCGGTCACTCGTTATGGTCCGCGAACCGGTTGCCACCGGGTTAAATATCGCTGTGAACATGTGACGTTACGCCGCGTTTCCGCGCGTTGGCTTCCATCGAGACAACATTTTCGTCTGATTTACGTTGGCCAGCTGGTATCATGGCCACCCTTCGGTCGAGCCCGAGACGCGTGGGCTCTGATAAGGAAATTTAGGAGGCGTGTAACGCCGATATCCGCGATATCCCCCTTTCCAGCTGTGTCTGCGTCTCTGCGTCCGAGAGGGACTCTTTATAAACGTTGTTTATTGCCGTAGGTTCAAGTTCCTCGACTTCCCCCGTTCGAAGATACTGCTCGACCAGGTCGGATAATTATAGGCGAACGACTCGAGACGTGGCTAGATACCTCTTGTAATTGAGATACCGCTAGAGCTACGAATGTTCCCTTAGTCCTGCGCACAATGGGCCGAGTAAATCACTCGCGTGTGCTTGTCTCTCCCACTCACCCACGCCTCGCTTCTCCCCTACCACCCTGCTTGCCTGAAGACTTTCTGATGGCCGAATCGCGATTCAGGCTCTCCCCTTCGTTCTCCACTCTCCCTCCTCCTCATCGCCGATGCTCCGGAATGCATCAACGAAAATCGATGAGAAGAAACGAAAAAACGACGAACGATCCTCTCCAGCCGGTATTTCGCGAGTCAAACTCACGAGAATGAAACAGACATCATTTTTCGAGTATTCCGTTTGATACTTTGCACATTTGTCTACCTGGACGCGCTTTGCAATTGCTCCATTTGTTATTTGCTATTTTCCCGAAGAGAGAAAATTGTATTTTATAATCGATTAATTTATGGTACGAAATATATATTAATTATATTTAATATATATAAAAAATTATATTTATATTTATTTGATTTAAATATATAATAAATTATATTTAATATATATATATATATATATATATATATATATATATGTATATATATATATAATTGTATTTATATTTATTTGATTTAAATAATAAATTATATTTAATATATATATAAAATTGTATTTATATTTAAAAATTATATTTATATTTATTTGATTTAAATATATAATAAATTATATTTAATATATATATATATAAAAAATTATATTTATATTTATTCAATCCAAATTATAAGTTAGTGTTTGCCTTCGTTCGTAGTTGCTCGATTTGTTGCAATTTCCTAAAGAAACAAAGTGTGTTTTGTATGGTTGGATTTTAATTTCGTTGTCAGTACGATGCGAGAGAGTAGATATAAATTACAAATAGAAATAAAAATTATAAATTATCTGTCTATTATTATCCACCTTCGTTCGTTCGAAGAAAAATTTGTATTTCACATCATTTGGATTAATTTTGATAAGAGAAAGTAGATATAAACATGTAAATTTATATATTTGTCTTGCTCGTTTGCAGCTGCCCGATTTGTTGCAATCTTCTAAAATGAAAAGCGTGTTTTATATCGTTGGATTTTAATTTCGTCGTCAGAACGATGAGAGAAAGTAGACATAAATTATAAATTAACATCTCTGTTTGTTTGTTGCTATTTCTCGATTTGTCGCGACTTCCCGAAGAAACAGACGGTGTTTCATACCGTCGTCGTCAGAACGGCAAAAGATAAGAGAAAGTAGATCATAAATTATAAATTAACATCTACCTTGTTCGTTTGCAATTTGTCCGACGAGAAAATGCAAATGCTTTACATCGTTAAGATTAATATCGGATTGATATCGACGAAAGAATGTAGAAAAAGAATTACAAATTCTAATGGCCAAATTCGATCGACCTCCCCCCCGAGTGCATTTAATCGGTCGCTGGCTAAAATTTCGTTCCAATAAACGAACGTTCGGATAAGTGGTATCCTTCTGCAACGAAATTTCGTCACGGCGCGTCAAAAAGCCATGCAGATTGAAGGGTTAATGCTATTATCTGATCACTCGCCAATCATCTTCTCTCTCTCTCTTTCTTTCTATCTTTTGCATCACTGTCTAACATTCACGCGCGTACTCACGCTATCCGCGGCTCGATTCGACGACACTTTGTTCGCAGTTTGGTAGCCGGGCCAGCAGTAGCCGATTTTCAATAACCGACGAGATGGCAGATAAGCTCGTCGGGCCACCCTCTTGCTCGCGATTTCTCACGTTTTCTCCCTTCGAGTCGCGCCACCCTCCCGAGGCAAGGTTTATCCCTCGAACGCTCGCCTCCGGGTTTTGCGGAGCACCGTGCCGAAATCAATATCTTCGAAACGCTCGGGCGGCGAGTTCCGTGAGAGTTCGATCCTGTCGAAACCGATTTCCCTGTCTAATAGAGCTCTCCCCCTCTCTGCGACCGACGGTTTGTTACTCGTTACTATCGAGGCCGCCGCCCGGGCAATGTCA